ATATATAAATAAATGCATAACACATACAGACAAAAATGTGTTACACGTATTTAAACACGCCCTTATATGACAATACCACACACACGTCTATAGTTCTTATCTGAGGCCAGAGGGAGCGCACAGCCAATCACGAGGGTGCCTGAGATCACGTGGGTCCCCTGGTGTCACGAGACGGCTGCCAGACAATCACAGAGCGGCATGACGTTTCACAAAATGGCTGCGCCCTGTCATAAGATGGCGGGCGAAACAAAATGGCCGCCCCCTGTGGACAGGGGGGTACGGCCCGGTGTCAAATATCCTTCCGGAACAACTCGTGGGCGGGGCGATGGCCCTGCCAGCCAATCACGACACACTGCGCAGCCTGGACGCGTCAGCCCCGCCCCCGGGGGCTCCGGGCGGGGCAGGGTCCTGTGGGTGTGGGGAGGAGGTTCCTCCGTGTCCCGGGCCGGGCCGGGGATGCGCTCGGGGTGTGGCCGCTCCGTGCCCCTGTCCGTGTCCCGGGATGTACCCGCTCCGTGCTCTGTCCGTGCCCGCTCCGTGCCTGTTCCGTGCCTTTTCCGTGCTCTGTCCGTGCCCTGTCCGTGCCCTGTCCGTGCTCTGTCCGTGCCCCTGTCCGTGCCTTTTCCGTGCTCTGTCCGTGCCCTGTCCGTGCTCTGTCCGTGCCCGGCCGGCGCTGCCCCCCGGGCTCTCCCGGCCCCCCAGCCGGGTTTCGCTGCGAACGCGCGTGGGCCCCGCGGCCCCGGCCCCGCACGTTGTGCTCGGGTGCCCCGTCCCCCCCTCAAACCGGGGCTCGGGAGCCGGGCTGGCGCCTCCCGGGAGGCCGTTCCGGGACACGCTCCGGGTGATCCCGGCACGGGGAGCCGGCTGGGTTTGTGCTGCCCCTCGGGGTGCGCGGCTGTCCCTGCTGCTCTGGGGCACGGCCCCAGCACCGGGGGGCAGCTGCCAGGGAGAGGGGCCGAGGCACGGCCCATCCGTGGGTGTTTTGGGGCAGTGTTGGCAGTGGTGTAAGAACCGGGAAAGGCTTGGAGAACTGGGGGTGTTAGCCTGGAGAAGAGCAGGTTCCAGGAGACCTTAAGAGCCCCTTCCAGGGCCTAAAGGGGCTCCAAGAGAGCCGGAGAGGGACTTTGGACAAGGGCCTAGAGGGACAGGACAAGGGGAATGGCTTCCCATTGCCAGAGGGCAGGGATAGATGGGATATTGGGAAGAAATACCACAATGTGAGGGTGGGGACATCCTGGCACAGGTTGCCCAGAGAAGCTGTGGTTGCCCCAAACCTGGAAGTGTCCAGGCCCAGGTTGTGTGGGGCTTGGAGCAACCTGATCTCATGCAAGATGTCCCTGCCCATGGCAGGGAGTGGGACTGGATGGTCTTTAAAGTCCCTCCCAACACAAACCATTCGACGATTCTTTTAAGTAGGAAAGTGTGGCATTAACGAGGCTGTTGAGTGTGCCCAGGGCTGGGACAGGGCAGGGCCCCTTCTGGCATCACCGGTCCCAGCTGCTGCCCTGGGAGGTACTGAGGGTAGCAGGGAGGTCAGACCGGTGCCCCCTTCCCTGGAACGCCACTCAGTGCCAGCCCCATCACCCGCAGCACCGTGTCCTGAGCCCTGCAGGGCCAGGGGTCCCATCCCCATCGTGGTGGGTGCAGCTCCCCAAGGCTCTGCCTGTCCTGTCTGGGTGTCCCCAGGGCCTGGTGGGTGACAAAGGCACCTCTGTGCAGCTCAGGAGCCCCTGAAGTGCTGCCTGAGGCCACTGGAAGGGCAGCAGAGCTGGGGGCACCAGCTGTGGTTCACCCAGCTCTGACCCTCTGTCACTCTGCAGACCCCTGAGCTGGGCTGGCAGACCCTGCCCTGGCTGAGTCCTGGCTCCAACCCCCCATTCCCCATGGGAATGTTCCCCATCCCACATCCCTCACCACAAGCACAAAGCACCAGCGAACCGTGGAGGGTGGAGGACATCCCGGTGCTATTCCTGACACTGCAGTGGCCCAGGGGTTTCCCTGGAGCTGCAGGAGTGAGGCCTGGCTGGAGGCCTGGTGCCTCCATCCCTGCCCAGGCACCGTCCAGCCCAGGAGCGAGGGGGCTGCCCGGGCTGGGACCAGCACCCACTGCAGGCCCCCCACAGCAGGGAGCAGGGCTCTCTCGCAGGCCATGGAGCCGGCATGGACTGCAGTCCTGGGTGTGCAGGGCTGGTGACTCCTGGGGCTCCCTGAGCCCCCCCTGCTGCAGTGCCTGTGCTGCTGACGTGTCACAGCCCCCACACAGAGAACAGGACCCAAGGCAATGGCTGGAGCTGTGTCAGAGCATTGGATATCAGGAATAGGTTCTTCCCCCAGAGGGTGGTTGGGCACCAAACGGGCTCCCCAGGGCAGTGGGCACGGCCCAAGCCTGACAGAGCTCAGGGAGTGTTTGGACAACGCTCTCAGGACAGGGTGGGATTGTTCGGGTGTCCTGTGCAGGGCCAGGAGTTGGACTCAAGGAGCCCTTCCAGCTCAGGATCTCTGAATTGTGGTGGCAGAGCAGAACCTTTGGTCCATTCCCTGCCTGCTGTGGCAGAGCTGGTGGGAGCTGCTGTTCTGTGAGACCCCCACACCCCTCCCAGGGTTCCTGCCCCCTGAGCTGTACTGGCTTACCTGTCCCTGCCAACCAGGACGAGGGAAGACACAAACACACCAACTTCTGCTGCTGCCAAATGCTTCCCAGCTCCTGACACCAGGATCAGACCCTGTGGGAAGTGAGCAGATACACGAGTCCACAGTGGGATGGGCACAGAGCTGTGGCAAGCCCTGGCCCCACATTTCCACCCCCATCAGTGTTCCAGCTCCAAAGCTCCTTTGGCTGAGTGTCAGGATGTGTAGGGAGAGCTGATAGGGGTGGAAGATCAAGTGAGGCACTCACAAACAACACAATCCAGTCTGACACACAGCTCATATTTTAAAAAAACCAACCAAAACTAAAAAACCTTTTATTTGACAAATGAAAAACAAACAAAAAGATATTTACAGTAGGGGGTTTTGTTCCTCCATAAATTTCATTCTAATAATCCCTGCTCTCCCCACTCTTCCTGGTCCATCCCACAGCAGCAGCACCAGCCCCTGGCACAGGCACAGCCCTGGGGGAAGGAAACCATTTTGGTTTGACTGGGGCAAAACCAGGGGGAGGAGGCCAAAAAACCTCATCCTCCCTGCATGGAGGGACAGAGCTGCAAGGGGGTGAATGGGTGAAGGGCTATCCAGAAACAAGGGAGGAAGTAAAAATTCAGGGTTTTCCCCAGACAGGAGACAGAGAGCAAAGGTGGGGGTGAGGAAAGGGATTGGCCACAGGCACATAATGGGCACCACTCACCTGACATGGTGCCCTCTGCCCAGTGCTGGAGCCAGAGCCATCCCAGCACTGCATGTGGCCAAGGTGACACACCTTGGGAAGCCTTCCAACAGCCCCCACCAGCACTCAGGATCCCCTCTCCCATGGCACCTTCTTTCTGAAGAAAGGGAGGGTGGGAACACCAGTCCCCCAAATCAGTGCCTTTCCCTTCCAGCTCCATCACCACAGTGCTGCTCTCCCAGCACTGCTGGCTCCAGACACCGCACAGCACCAGGTCCTGCAGCCCTTCTCAGCTCTGGCCATGTGACTCATCAGGCTAATTACCTGTGATTAATGCTTCTCAGGACAGGTAGCACAGTGCATACACAGCACTCTTAACTTACAACTTAGAGGAACCAGCAGTGCCTGGGCCCTGGGGCCAGCACAGCACCCAGGCACAGCAAGAGATGCCGAGCCAGGAGCTGCCCCAGAGCCCAGAAACCACCCCAGACCAGGCTGGGGGTGCCCTGCAGCTCCCAGCAGACACCAGTTTGTCACTAGAGGTCCCCAGCACGGCACAGCCACACTCGGACAGCGAGAACGGGAGGGAGGGGACAGGGAGCAACAAATCCATCCTCGACCTTCCCAGTGCAGTTCAGCAGTACTTGGCTCATGAGGCATCACTGCTTCCCAGGAGCCCTGGGCTGCACTCACTGAACGCTCTGGCCGTGCCCGCAACACGCCCTTTCCAAAGGTTAAAAAAAAAGAAAGGAAAGGAAAAGGAAAAGGAAAAGGAAAAGGAAAAGGAAAAGGAAAAGGAAAAGGAAAAGGAAAAGGAAAAGGAAAAGGAAAGGAAAGGAAAAAGAAAAAGAAGTTGGTACAAAATTCCCAGTCTCAGCTATGCTCAGCCTGCTGTCAGCACCTTGCAGGCTCGGCAATGCACTTGCTGCTCTGGACACGACGTGCACACATTCAGCAGGAACTCAAGGGAAACGCGGGGAAGTTGTGGAAATGCTTACAGATGAAAAAAAAAATAATCATGTAATAAATCATAATTAAAGAGAAAATGTTTCAACAAAAAACTTGCTAAACAGCACCACAGAGACTTCTACTGACAGCATCCAGAATACCCTAAAATGGAAGAGGAGGGTCCCATTTTTTCCATGTGATAAAATACCAGAGACTCCATGTTTCCAGTTCATCTGTGCCCTTCCCTGGGCAAGGCGGGGCTCCTGGTCAGGAATCAGAAAGAGCCCCCAAAAACAAAAGCAAAAAAAAAAAGGGGGGAGTGGGAAAAGATCAGAGATCTGGGAGAAAAAGCTTTTCATCCATAGTCCTTAAAATAAACACCAACACTTAAAAAATTAGGTTCTCTCTTTCTCTTCCTGAAAAAATGGTGCTGGCTGGACCCTTGTTTGCAGGAGAGAGGAAGAACTCAGCAGGTTTTCCAGGGGAACTCCACAGTGATGGCTCTGGCAGCGTGGCAGGGACAGGTCAGCACTGCTGCAAAGGTCTGGTCACAACTGTCACCTGGGGCACCACCGTCAGCGGTCAGCGCATCTCCCAACAGGAGGGACAGTCCTTCTTCTCCCCCCTTGGCTGACAAGAGAGACCAGAGACCCCTGGGAGGCCGGAGTCCACTTCTGGGATGGGCTGGTCGGAGGTGCACGAGGCCAGGAGAGTCAGGAACCCCCAGGGAAGGGCATCCAGAGGAACCCGGCCCAGGGGTTATTTGGAGGCTCCGGGGGGCTCGGTGTGGGGCGACAGGGGCAGCTGCCCACTCTGCCGCTGCCGCTCCAGCTCAGCCGCCTTCTGCAGAGCCACCTCCACCAGCAGCTGGAAGCTGCTGAAGTCATCCCCGAAGAGCTCGGGGGGTGTGGGGGGTGGCGTGTTGAAGAGTCCGGGGGTGGGGCTGGCGGCCTCGGCCCGTGCCAGCAGGGTCAGGGTGCTGTTGGGGGCACCCCCTGGTGCTTTGGGGACAGGGTCCAGCTCCGCTCGTGGCCCAGGGGGCTTCTCCCACTCGGGGCTGTGGGTGCTCACCACCGCCAGCGCCTGGGCCGGGTGGCACAGTACCTGCGGGCACACCGACATCGACAGCACCTTGGAGGCCCCCACGGGAGGGACCACCAGCACCCCGGAGCCAGCCCCCCGCGGCAGGGCCACGTCGCCGGCTTTGCCCCCTCGGCGGGAGATGGTGAACTGGTTGGGGTCCTTCCCGTCCTTGCGCAGCATGTCCGGGAGCAGCCGCCTCCGGGCATTGATGAACCAGTTGCAGATCTGGGAGGTGAGAGGAACACAGCGGGGTCAGCCTGGGGCTGCCACATGGGCACAGCGCTGGCCAGGGGGCTGTAGCCCCAGGTCAAGCCAGAAGCAGCCCCCCCAGACCCAGCAAACAGCTCCCACACACCCCAACTACCGCAGGTCCCCCCAGCTCAGCACCTCCTTCCCGTGAGGCTCCAAAGAGGCAGAACTACTGCTGGCACCCACGGAAACCCCAACACCGGCTGCTTCCTGCCTGGCACCACTAGCCCAGGCAGCCCCTTCCTCCCTGCACCCCTGTACTGGCTGCCCGTGGTGCAACGCTCCCCTCAAGCCCTGCCGGCCCCCCCTGCAGGGACTGTGCCCCCCAGCACCGCTGGCACCTTCTCTCCATTGCAGCACACAGAGTGAGCACAGCCTGGGCAGCCTCGGGGCCCAGCCACAGCACGACTGTGAAGAGCCACAGGAGCTGCAGTGGCTCCTGAGCAGAGCTGCCCCCCCCCGGGAAGGATGAGCTCAGTGCTGACCCCACTGCACAGCCTGAGAGCCCTGGCCCCTGCCTGTGCCCAGGCTCAGGCAGGTGGAGTGGGCACAGCTCCGGCCATTTCCCCAGCCAGAGAACTTGGCACTGCACAGAGCCAGCTTGGAGTCCACCCTGCAGGTCCCAGGCTGGGTACAGTTATCCCTTCTCCGGGTGACCCATCCAGGAGCTTGGTGTGCCCAGCCATGTTTCCACACTGATGCCAGTGCCAACGTGCTTCCAACCTGGACAGGAATGCTGAGGCTGCATGGATGGAAACCCTGGAAACCATCAGCTGATGGAGCTGCAGCCCCCCAACCCCTAACAGGGACTGTGGCTGCACAGACACCTTCCCGTGCCTCCTGCCCACAGGCAGGGTCACAGCTCATGGCAAAGGTTCTTCCAAACATTTGCAACCACAGAGGTTGCACCTCTGGTAGCTCTTGGGAACCTGCTGCCATGAATTCAGCCTTAGCATCTTTATATTAAATGCTACATTAAAATAACTGCCCTCTTCGTAGAAAACAGTTACAAGAGAATAAATCAGGGGGAAAAATGTCTGATCTTTTCTAAATCAACATCTATGGGAAATATTTCCCTCAAGGACAGAGAACTTGCCACAACTTCAATCACAGCAAGATTTCAGTTGTCTTTTTTCTGTCTTTAAGACAATATTTGGCATTAAAACTCTCAAATACACCAGTCTCACTTCCTTTCTCCTTCCAAACCCCCTCCCTTGCAAGCCTTAGCTGGGTCCCCTTGACTTGATCCTGTGATCCCATGGGCATCCACCGCTGTGATCCCCAACCAGAGGGCTGCACATCCAACAAAAAGCCTGACCAACTCCACAGTACTGGGAACTCCCCAAAACCCTGCCTGTCTCCCCCCACCATGCTCCTTCCAGCATCCAATTCTCATTGGGGAACACAGCACAGAGATGGGCACACACAACCACTGGTGTCACCACGTGGTGTCACCCACCCAGGAGCTGGGATATGCTCTGGCTTTGAAGCAGCTTATTGGTTTTTTAACCACACCATGGGGTGTCCCACTCCTTCAGCCCAACAGCAGATGGAGCTTCCCCACGGCATCCTGCTGCATCCCCTCAAATGGACTGAAATCCCACTGTCAGTCCTCAGCTGGCCCTGGGAACGTCACCAGGCTGGGACCCCCTGCCCAGGGGTACAGGGCAGCCCCCTTAGGGGCACATGCTGGCTGGGGTGGCCCACAGGGGCAAACAGTAGCCAGCACATGGCAAGGCCACACCTCAGCATAAGCCCACACGTGTGCCAACCCCCTCCTGGGTCCCACGGGCTCAGGGCACAGACAGTGCCACAAGCCCTGCGGTAACACCCTGTGCCAGGTACTGCCATATCTGCCTGGGACTGGACAAGCCCAGGTTCTCACAGCTGCAAACCCACTGCTGCTCCCCCACCACTCTGCCTCGAGCCCTCCCAGGAGCTCCAGCCTCTCCTGGGAGCAGTTGCTGGACACACACCTGTGGCACAGCCAGCACTTACAGAAATACATTAAAATTATTAAGCAAGTTTGCCTTGGTGGCCAGGAAAAGGGAAAGCAGATGGCCCTGCCTGCACTCCAGTGTCTGGGACAGCTGACTAGGACCGTGCTGAGCCACAGGGACAGGAGCCAGAGGTGCAGAGGAAGCTCCAGGAGAGGAGTCCAGCTGCAAACCCAGTGGCCCTCGCCTGCTCCCCCGCACCCCATTGTGTCCCTGGAACCACAGAACTGAGAGGAGCCCCCTTCATTTCCTCACTGCCAGGCTGGGAGAGGGAGAGCAGGGCCTGGGGCACACAGGGCTGTACATGGAGCACAGGGACAGGCAGCTGCAGGCAGCTCTCCCAGACACTCTAACCACAAGTAAGGAGCACACCAGGGCAGGAAGGACAAGCACTACTCACCCCCAGGGCTGGCCAGGGCTCCTGCCTGGGCACCCATCATGGTGTCCCAAGGAGAACATCAGCCAGGAGCAGGACAAAGGGATTCCTGGGCAGGAGTCCCCACCTGGGGATGCACACACTCCCACTCTTAAATGGGGCCAGGTGAGCCAGCCAATACCTAACAGTGCACCCGAGCTCAAAGCCCAGCCCAGCCTCTCCTTCCTGGGATGGTTAAAAATCATAGAATATGCTGAGTTGGAAGGGATCCATGAGGCTCATCAAGTCCAACTCCTGGCCATGCCCAGCCTCAGCACTGTCCCCTGCCCAGCTCTGTTTGCAGGGGGTGGTCACCCTGGCCTCTGCTGGATGTGTCCAGGGGAACAGGATAAAATAGCACCCCCCAAAACCCTCCTACCTGTGCAGCTTTTACTAACAACAGGGCATTGTTCAGCCTGTCCCCACTCCAGTCCTCACTCCATCTTCTAGCCAGCCAAAATTCTGTGTTGCAGCACTGCCATAGAGCTGGTCCCCCCGGAGTTCAGACGTCTCCCCAAAAGAGACCCCGTCATACAGGCGGTTTTGCTTCCCCAACATCCCCTCCCTCATCTGCTCGCTGCCCTTCAGAGGTAAGTGGTCCCGGCGTGCCAAGTCCTTTGGGAGCCTTGGTGGGGTTCTCCCGTCCCATGCCGTGTGGCAGTGGCCTCAGCATTGTTCCCGCAGTGTCCCCAGCGGGTGGGGGGCTGGCTCCTACCTGCAGCACAGAGAGGCTGGTCTGCCCCGAGAGGCTGAGCTTCTCCTGCTCCGAGGGGTAGGCGTTGAAACGGTGCTCGTACAGCCAGTCCCGCAGGATCTTCACGGACTCCTTGGGCAGGTTGCCCCTTCTCTTCCTCTTGGACTGCAGGGGGTCAGGGGACGTGGCGCCGTCCTCCTCCCCCGGGTCACTGTCCGACATGGTGGAGCTGCCCGCTGGTCCCTTCTGGATAAAGCCTGGCAATAGGGAGCCAAAGGGAGCATCAGGCAGTGTCCGGCCAGGGGAGTGGAGGGGGCCTCCCACCGATCCCCCACCCCCTACAATGGAGGGGTCTCACGCCCTCTGGGCCCGGCCGGGGGGGGAATCCAGAGGCAGAGACCCCCGGGGGGGACAAGCGACTGGCTCCGGGGGGACAACAGCGGCGCCGAACAGAGCCCCGGGATGCGGGGGAGCCCAGCGTGGGGCTCCGGGGCACTCAGGGTTCGGGGGGCACTCGGGAGTGGGGGGTCACCGCAGGTGGCAAAAAAAACAAATAACGCGGGGGAGGGGGAGCGGTGAAGAGGGGAAGTTAAAAATAAAAACAATCTCAGCAGGAGAAAGAGGCCGAAGCTGGAGAGTGGGAGAGGAACCACGCGGGGTCATTGTGTGGCGGGGATGGAGGCGGGGGCGGCTGTCACGGGCCGGGGGCTCGGCTCGGCTCGGAGTGCGGTGCGGGGGCTCGGCGGTGCGGGGCAGGCCGGGCCCGCAGCCCCTCCGGCCGCAACAGGTACCGCGGGGGGGCCGCGGCGCCGACACAAAGCGGGGGAGCGGCAGTCGCGGCCCCCCCCGGGCGCGGGGGGACAGAGGAGCCGCAAAGTGGCCGCGGCCTCGCACCCCGCACTCCGCCGCCGGCCCCGAGCACCCCCGGCCGGGCGAACTGCCCCGGCTGAGTTACAGCGGGCGCGGGGCGGGCGGGACCCCCCGCCCGCGGCTCCCGCAAACTTTCCGAGGCGGCGGCGCGGCCCGTCCCGCTCCGTCCCGCACAAAGGCGCGGGGCCGCCCCGCTCCCCCCGCGCCCCCCGGGATCCATCTTTGCGCTCACCCCGCGCCGCCGCCGCCGCCTGGGCGCTCGCATGGGCCGCGCCGGGCTCTCGGTGCCGGGGCCGGTGCGGGGCCGTCCCGCGGCGGCGGGCGGGCGGCCGGGCGCGGCGGAAAGTTTTGGGTGGGCGGCGGTGACAGATGCCGAGACAGAGTTCCCTTTGTTCCCGAGGAGGCAGGAACTCGCCGGGCCCCCGCCCCCGGCCCCGGCCCGCCCGCCCCGGCTGTCACCGGGCACCGGGGTCCCCCCGCCCCTCCGAGCCCCAGCCGGTACCTGGCGCCGGCAGAGCCCTGCCCGCGGGGCGCGGCCAGGATGGGGCTCGGCCCCCGCTCTCGGACACAGCCCCCGGCGGGAGCGGGGAGGGACAGAGGGAGTCCCGGAGACCCCGCGCCCGCCCGGCCCTGCGGAACCCCCACACGGAGCTGCACCCGCATAGGGGCAACCACCCGAGGGTACCCCCGGGTACGCCCACCCGGGGACACCCACCTGGGGACACCGCACACGGGCGTCCGCCTGGAGCCACCTACATTGGGACATCCATCCAGGGACACCCTCACAGGGATACCCACCTCGGGACTCCAATGCAGGGACTCCCATTCAGGGATACCCACCCAGGGGCACCCCACAAGGCACTGCACAGGCTCCTTCCCCCTGGCTGAATCCTGTCACTGAGCCCTGCTGGGTTACTGGTGCCTGTGAGCAGGGGACAGGGACAGGCCCTGGGACAACAGCTGTGGGGGCAGGTGTGGGTGACAGCCCTGGGGACCTTGGACAACCATGAGGCACTACCAGTGGTTTCTTTGGTGTCTTACCAGATAGGAAATCTGAACAGAAGCTCAGCACATCACTGTTCCAATGACAGTGGAAGGTGTGTCCAAGCAAAGGTGGTGACCAAGGAAGCACCGGGTGGAACCCTCACCATGCCATGCCCATCAGGCTTGGCCAGGTCTCTGGAAGCCCTTCTGTGCTGCTCCTGCTCTCCCTGTGCCTCCCTACCACCACAGCAGAGCCCAAGGTCACCTTTTGAATTTTGGGGACCAGATCTCTCTGTTTATATGCAAGCCTGCTGCTGGTCTGGGATGTGGCTCCCAAGGGATTTCCCCACCATAGCTCTGTGCCTGCCTGAGATACAGGGCTAGGTCACCCATCACCCTCTTCCAGGTGCTCAGCTGAGCCCAGACAGGATGTGTCCATCACGGACACCCTGGAATGGTATCTTCATCAGTGGGAACGACAGAGAGAAGAGCTGCTCTGAGCACCAGTGCCAAATCCCAGCTCTTGCGATGGAGAAGTTCCACTACAGGAAGCCAAGATGACCTTGTCCAGCAGCCAGCCCAGAGCCTGCCAGCAGAGCCCCCTGTCTTGGGATGTCCTCTTGGAAATGTGCTTTTTGGGTCATCCATTGCCCCTCCATTGATCATCCTTGCCAAGCCAAGCCCCACACACGTGCATCCCCCAGGGACCTGTGTGCTGGTGAGCACAACACCCCAAGGTCACCAGATCCTGCTCCACATCACCCTGGTGCAGGAATTGGTCTTGGGGCAGCTCCCCCCTCCCAGGCTCCACCAACTCTGCAGGCTGTGCTGTGGCTCCCCTCACTCCCCTCTCTGCTGTTTGCAGGGTAAAAGATGGGGATCCCTTCAAGTATTGAGAAAAGCTGCAAAAAGCATTCTTTTATGGTCAGTGTGCATGGTGCAATAAAGGTTTAAATTGGGGGGAAAGAGAGAATTCCTTTAAAATATTTGTTTAGTTGCTGCTAAATCTTCCGTGTCCTGAGTGAAACTGTGCTCCAACCAGCTTTTGCTTCATTAATGCCAACAGAGCTGGGGCTGGTGAAGCACAGGTGAGGGGTGGGAGCCCTGGATGCACATCCCACCCACTGCAGGGTCACACTGGGGCAGGGAGCATCCCCTGGCCCCTCCAGTCCTCTCACACCAGGCTGGCTCCTGCCCACTCCAAACCAGGGCCATCACCAGGCAGGGGGTTCGTCCTGCCTGCTCTCCTCCCTGTGCAGCCAGTTCCCCGTGGGTGACACCGCAGCCCCCCCGAGATGCCCCCTGGACACCCCCAACACTCTGTGTCAGCCACCGTGCCCCAGCAGGACTATCATTCCAAGCAGTTTACTTCTGCTCCTGCCTTTTGGAAAAGGCTGCATTAGTCTTCTGCCAAACTGAGACAACCAGGAAATGAAACGGCCGAGAGCCCCCTCAGGCCCTCCCACCTCCCTGTGCTCCCTGGACTGGTAGTGTGGAAGCAGCTCTGGAAAAATCCCACTGGGAGTGCAGCATGAGGGCAACCTAAATCCCTGGGCAAGCACAGCCTGGCACAGGAGGCAGGGAGCTCCCAGCTGATGGGAATGAGGAGCCTCTGGGATGAGGAGCCAGGGCAGGGGCTCTGGGGCATCTCCTGCCCATTCCCACTACAAGCTTCTCCAGGCTGAGCCCTGCCCAGGCCCATTGACATGATAATACTATTAAACTTCAGCAATTTGAACAACAATCAGCCAGCAAGAGCCTGAGGGGGGATACTGGAAATCAAGGGGAAGCTGGAACTCCCAGAGGGATGCTGGGAACCTCTGGGGGATGCTGGTGTCCCCAGGCAGCCTCCCAAGGTACTGACCCATCTCAGTCAGGATTCTCTCCATCCTTTGCCCACCCTGTGATACGTAAATTTTCATTTTTAGCAAGGAAAAAAATGGATTGTGGTGAATTTGTGATGGGCTGTGCTGGCTGTTTGCTGCCGCCTTGCCCCTGGGGCCACTGCATCCAGCAGTGAGTCCTGCTCCCAGCTCAGGGCCAGTGGACCCCTGCAGGCTGGAATTCCCCCAGTAGGACTGGGATTCCCCTGGGAGCTGGAGCACTGGAGCCCCATGTTTGGGCACCGCAGCCCCTCCATCTCCTCCTGCCCCTTCCCATGGGGAAGCTCTGCTGTTCCTGTTGTCCTTCTCAGAGCACAGGGCAGGACAGACCCTCTCTCAGCAGGTACTGCCACGCCCCTTGCTTCTCTGATGTTCCTCTAACCTGCATCGTTGGACATGGTGATGCTCTGGGGACACCAGGATGGAGTTCACAGCACTGGAGAAAAAAACACTCCTGGTTCAGGGTGTCCTGGGCTGTACTAGGAGCAGTGTCACAGCTGGTGGAGGGAGGGGACCCTTCCCTCTGCTCTGCACCACTGAGGCCACCCCTGGAGTGCTGGGCCTGGAGCTGGGCTGCCCAGTACAACAAACTGGGACAGACTGGAGAGAGTCCAGCACAGGGCCATGATGGTGATGGAGGGACTGGAGCATCTCTGCCATGAGGAGAGGCTGAGAGAGCTGGGACTGCCCAGCCTGGAGCAGAGCAGGCTCAGGGGATCTCACCTGTGTGGATGAATACCTGGAGGGAGGGTGCAGAAAGGACAGGGCCAGGCTCTGCTCATCAGTGCCCAGGGACAGACCCAGAGGCCATGGCACAAAGTGACACACAGGAGGGGTCCTCTGAGCATCAGGACACACTTTTCCACTGTGGAGAGTTCTTCTAGACTGACCCAAAAGCAGGGTTACTTGCTTATGTTAATGTTCCCCTGCCCCAAACAACCACTTTTGAAATTAAATGTTGTTTTATTTTGCTGCTATTTAATACCTTTGAAATTAGTCAGGTCAGGTCGACCTGCTGCCCATGCTACTTCTGATTCAGCCCAGGGTACAGCTGACTTTCTGGGCTGCCAGTGCAGTTGGCCAAGTCACATCCAATTTGTCATCCATCAGGACCCCCAAGTCCCTCTCCCCAGGGCTGCTCTCAACCCACACAGCCCCCAGCTTGTGCCGGGAGCTGCCCTGACCCAGATGCACAACCTTGCACTTGGCCTGGTTGAACAGCATGAGGTTCACATGAGCCCAAGTAGTTTTGGGGTTTCATAGAATCATCAAGTCCCAGAATGGTTTGGGCTGGAAGGGACCTTAAAGCTCATCTCATTCCACACCCCTGCCATGGGCAGAGACACCTTCGACTAGTCCAGGTTGCTCCAAGCCCCGTCCAGCCTGGCCTTGGACACTTCCAGGGATGGGGCAGCCACAGCTTCTGTGCCAGTGGAACAGGTTTATTGACTCTTCCCATATGTACCCCAGTGTCGACTTACAAATTTCCTCTGCTTTGCTGCCTCAGGGTTGAAGGACGCCCTTCAACGTGGTGTCACCACAGCCGTTCCAGTGATGGGGCAGCTCAGACCCAGCAGTTTTGGCAGCTGCTTAAGGCAGCACTTCTGAGAGCCCCATGCTAGAGCCTGTGGCAGCTCCCAGTTGGGGCCAGCAGTGCCCTCAGCTGGGACCAGCCATCGAGTCCATCCCACTCGCGGCACTGCGAGAACCAGGGCTGGTCACACAAGGTGATCTCCTGGGATCTGTGGGGCTGAACATCCCTCCTGAATGCACCTACCCCCAGAAGACAGTCTGCCCACAGCCCCAGCATCAGCCTGCCTGCCCCAAAGTGTCACCTGTGAGACGTTCACTTTGCTGGGCATTTCAGGGAAGGAGGATTTTATAAAGCATCCTTCCTCCCAGCAGCCTGCGAATTTGCTCTGGAAGTGGGAGAACTGTAGTTTTTCCCTGGCACAGCATGAAATTAGGAAAGGAGCTTGGCATCCGTGGGCTGGTCTGGGGCTGCTGCTGCAGAGCACAAGCCCTGTCCCTGGGGAGCTCCCTGGGAGAGTGCAGGTTCAGCCCTTCACATCTCTGTGTCTCTGACAGTTTAGTTCCTTTTTCCTGGTGTTGGCAGTGCCTGCAAAGTAGAAGGACTGAGACCAAGGAGAAGCTTTTCAATCACGGGTTATCTCACAGGTGAGAGCATTACCTGGGGCCTGGCATGTTCCTGACACCTCTGATCCCAGCAGCATGTGCCCACAGAGTTTCCACAGACCTCATCTAAGCTTTCTCAGCACTGGGAGCCTCTCTGCCATGCATTATGCCCTCACCAGTTTTATGGGTTTCTCATCACATTTCCCCCCATTTTAAGTAAAGAATTGCAGGAAACTCATCCCTCCCTCCAGGGCAGGGAGAT